TATATATATATATATATATATATATATATATATATATATATATATATATATATTGATCTATTTTGTAAAAACTATTTTGTAAAAATAATTTTTACATTATATTGATCACTCAAACAATCAAGTAAACAAGAGGATTTGTATCTCAACCAGATACAATAATAAACAACAATAAACAACAATATATATATATATATATATATATATATATATATATATATATATATATATATATATATATATATATATATATATATATATATATATATATATATATATATATATATATATATATATATATATATATATATGTATATATATATATATATATATATATATATATAAGTAATAAGTTGATTTTATAATAATTTTTCGGTTTTTATTTAAAAAATATTGAAAAAAATAATATTCTGTTTTCAATGTAGTTATTTTCTCTTCAATTCAGGTTATTTTTCTTTCAAAAAATTGTCTTTCGTGAGCAAATCTCTTTAAATATCTACTTAAAATCCTGATATTTAGCCTCAGTTTTAATAATGTAAACCCTGATTTTGTTTTTGCTAAAAATACAAAATATATGTCAATAAATAAAATAAAAGGGAGTTTTGTTAAAATTTAGAATTAGTAGAATTAGATAAAATTTTGAATTGTTAGTTGTTATTAGTTAATTATATTTTATTAGCTAAAGTTAGTAGAATTTATAGTATTAGTTAAAATTTAGAAATTGATAGTGTCAAACAACAATTAGATAGAATTTAAAGTTGAACAGAAAAATTAAAAAAATTAAAAATAAAAAATGATAATGCTAAAAAAATAACACTTGTAAGAATATTTTTTACTTTTCCATAAATTTTACTTACTTGTTAAGATTTTATTTTTAGGAGCAACAACTACATCAAGTGTTAATTGATATATATGTTTTGGTCAAATACTTGTTTGTATTTGGTAATATTATAGTTACATTTTTGTTTTGTTTTTCAAAAACTCATATTGCATTTATTTGAATATGCATTTAGGAATCTAGAATTAATGAGTTTGTAGTTTTTGTATTTAGTTTTGTTATAAATTAAAGAAAATTTAATTGATTAAATATATTTAAGCCTAAGGTTTTATTTTTGCTTTCGGTTTTAAAAAAATAAAACAATGGTTTTGGGTTTAGTTGGTTTTGTGTAATGGTTAATGTAATATAGTTTATTTTATGTAATATGCCTAATGAATTTTTATTTGTAACAACTTATTTAATTCATTCAGCTCCTCCAAACTTTAAAAGTCTGTGATTCAAAATTTTGCCTATCCCAAAAAAATGTTAAAGAAAATATATGAAGTCAATGATAAATTTTAACGTTTTACAAAGATTAATGTAAGTAATATTTTTTCTTGAAATAACTCTCTTGGAAGTTGTTTTAAGTATCTAGGCCTATTTTCTTTATAAATTAATTTTTTTTAATAGTCCGCAATACTCAAAATAGGTACCTAGTCAATTCAGCTAGAAAAAAAGAACTTTTTCATCTCCTGTAACTTCAGGATTTCCTTAAGGTTCAATCCCTGGCCCTATACTCTTTTTAATTTACATTAACAATCTTCTAGATATTCTCACATCTAAGGTGGCATTGTTCGCTGATGATACGACCATTTATTCTTGTCATGATAAGAAGCCTACACACTCTGATTGCTTGAAGGGATTATCTGTGCTTGATAATGATCTCACCTACACCATGCTACAGCATGGGGCTCACAATGGCTTGTAAACTTAATTTTAGATAAAACTCGCAATAGTTTAGATCTTTCTATATTTATGATTAGTAATGTACAAGATAAGTCATTGACCCTTCATCTTCTAGGATTAACTTTTACTTCTCATCTTTCTTTTAAACCGTATATTAAATCCATTGCAAAATTAGCATCTGCTAAGGTTGCATCTCTTTATCTAGCTCGACATTTCCTTATTCCAGATTCTATTATCTATCTCTATAAATCTGAAATCGACCCTTGTATGGAATATTGTCGCCTTATCTGGGTTGGATGTTCTAATGATGCCCTTTCTCTTTTAGACAACGTGCAAAAACGCATTGTAAACATAGTTGGATCTGCTTGTGCAGCCTCCATCTTCAACCATTGTCACATCGTCGTGATGTTGAGTTTGGAAGTTACTTTTCCAGTAACTTCGAAACACTCATAGTGGTTGCTTGCAGCTTTGTTGGAAGCGAAGTTGTAATATAAAAAACGTTTAAAGTTGAGAATAGTTTTGATTTTTCCTAGTGTGATTCTGTTGCCAAGTTTCTTGAATGTGATTAATCATTTCTCGAAACAAATGTTGCAAAAAGTATTATATTTTTTATTATGGTTAAATGTTTAGTTTTCTTTATAAGAGTAAATTACTTTCATAAATTACATAAAAAGTTTTAATTCGTAATTATATACATAACGCTCACTTTAAACATAATTTAAACAAAATATTTGAATTGATTAAAACACTAATGAATTGCTCCTATGCCCAATATAACTTACACTAAATTGTCCCATATCAATTACACAAGTGTTATCTTTTGAATTTAGAAATAGAAGTTATTAAATGTTGGTGGCTCATCATGCAGTGCATTTGAGAAGGGCATGCTTTCAAAGAAAGTATAATTTTACTATAAATAGAGCATTTTTAATACCACAGTTATATTGCATACTTAATATACATAAATATATACGCTGGTCACAACAATCCAGTCAAAAATTTCTTAAAAAAAATAAATTTAGTGTTCAGAAATTTGTATTTTTTGATGTTTGATGTTATATTTATGAAATAATAATTATATATGTGTGTGTGCATGCGTGCGTGTGTGTGTTATTTGTTTCTTTCCTCTTTTTTTTTACATACTTATCTTGACAATATTTTTTTAGGGTTAAGACTGCTTCCCTGATTCCTAGAGCAAAAAAAAAACTTTAAAATGCTGGTTGTAATATTTTAAAAAGTGCACCTGATTGAATAGAAGGTGAATGACGTCAACTGTTCGAACATTCGATTCTTGAAAATTAATAAGTGGAAGAAAAAGTTTATAAAATTGTAACTTATAAATCTCAACACAATTATATTATTAAAAAATTTAAACGATTTATTTATTTTTTTCTTATTCTCAAAAAGTTCTGTGAAAACATAAATTTGAACCTTACGTTTAAGTAAAGCAATGTAAAAACACGTATTTTAGACGTAGAAATAAGAACGTCTAAATTAGGTTATTTAAAAACGTCATTTAGCGTTTCCATTTAGCACTTGGGTAAAACCACCAATTCCTGGCCACTTAATTTTAAACTTCGTTATATATTACCGCGAACGGCATAGGATCGTGAAAAAATATTTATAAACTCTTAATAAACTTCTTGAGATACATTTTATGACAAGTTTGGTAATTTTTGTCAATAAATTAACAAGTTTCAGCACAAATACTATAAGGCTTAAAAAACACCGAATCCTGGCCGGAGATCCGAAACATGGCCATTGCGAACTTATTCCAGGCCATTAAGTTTTACGAAGTAAAAGTAGTGACAATATTTTTAAAAACACAACAAATTTATTGTCTCGAGTTTAAAAAATAAGTTCTGCACAAATTTTTACTTGTCTATATTCAGGAAATATAAAATAAAAGCAAAATGCGAAAATAATAAGAAAATCCTTTTTTTAACAGCTAAACAAAAATAAATTTTAAATCGCTTCACAAAACTTAGCAAATGTCTTAAATGAATAAAAACATAAACTTGCTATACTTATGTGATTAATACTAATGTTTTTTGTCATGTCATAAAGTAACAGGTTAAGAAAAAAGTCAGCGTTTGATAAGATTTTTCAGTTTTAAAATGGATTTTACAATTTCAACAACAATCTCAAAAATATACCAAGTCAAAATGGTCCTTATGAGGCTTAGTAAAAGAAGTATATTAAATTAGGCAACAAAATACATAAACATAATACAGTGATACTTTGCAAATAACTCATCATTGAATTGAATATTTAAAATATTTAACAGCAAAATAATTAAATATATATTTAAAAAATAAAGCAAACAATTACAATACTTTTATCAGGATACCGATTCGTCCATCGTTTTTGGATCATTAAGTTACATTAACATTTTTCAACATTGTTTGCAAGAGTTGCTTGTATCGTCTGTATTTTTTTTTTGTTTAGGTTGGATTAAATTTTTTTTATTTGGTTTTGTTTTATTATTCATAGTATTTGCTTTGTCATATAATGGAAAGTTAGTCTTTTCAATCAGTTTTTTCTTAGCAATCTGAGATTTCAATAATTTACACTGTTCTTTTTCCTCCAACTTTTGTTGAAGTGCTTTAAATCTCTTTCTGGACCGATTCTCTTTTTCTTTATTTTTTTCTCTTTTAGTTTCTATCTCCAGAATCTTAGCATCGCAGGCTTCCTTAGCTGTCAATATGAAATATGTTGGTTGTAGGCCATTTTTTTAAAATTTGGTAGTAGTTGGCAAAGTCATTTTTAGGTATGGCAATATATCATTGTCATCGTCCTCAGTGTTTAACAGATTATTTAAACCATAAGTTGTAGATGCATTGGTGAGAAGAGTATATGGTGTATCATTAGACTTATTATTGACAAGCGGTGTTGAAACATGGTCAAGTGCTCTTGTATTTTTTGGAAGAGCAGTTAATACATCAGGAGATAACATTTTCAAACTTTTCCAACTCATAAAAGTTTCATCGCCCTTATGTCAAACCCTTTATCAAAACAAAAAGCAAAACATTGGCGTTGTTTGATGTGGTTGTAATATAATTTCAGAAGTTTTTTCAGATTTTTCCAAAAATGGATTAATAATATGTTTCTTATCTTCGTCAAAACTTATACTTTTTTCATATTTAGCCTCAGTTAATTGTGATGGTTCATAAAGGTTATTTGGCAGATAAGCCTCTGGTGGAATTTAACTGGGATTTAATGGAAATATACCACACACATTAAACCCTGATTTAATGTTCTTTTCCGATAAGGCTTTTAC